CCAGTGGTGTCTGGGAGGTCCACGGGGCGATGGTAGTTGGCCCCGAGCCAGAACAGCTGATTGAGGACGGCGTCTTCTAACGCCGTCACCTCCGCGAGCTTGCAGAACTCCCGGGCGTACTCGTAGAAGGGGAGATCGAGACGAGCTAGGGCGGCGACGCAAGCGGCAATTTCCATCGCCGCGGGGGGGGAAAACCAGCCTGGGACAAATTAAACATGGTAAAGGAAGGCACATGAGGAGCAAAACAACCACAAAACACGGAACAGAGTCTGACAGACTTCTAAGCTGTGAAAGAGTCAAGAAACATTAATACTTTATGTACATGAGGATACTGAGGTAACTTATTTTATTGATGTAATTATTAGGTGGGGTCCTTCAGTTCATCCTTGTCTCATGAATAAATAATAATAATAATAATAATAATAAAAGATTTTAAAGGATATATTAAAATAGTTTTACAAAAAAACGTATTTTTTTCTGAAGATTTTTCTAAAGGTTCTAAAAGATGATTGAAAGTTATTTTCAAAATTATTTTTCATCCATTATTTGTATTTTTGAGAACAAAGGATCACTGTCAGCAATACAGCTGTCAATACTATATTGCCAAACATTTTTAAAGAAATTCTGTTTGGTTATCATGGAAATATAAAGTGATAGAGGAACACATCTCTGCCAGTGATTGACTGTAGATCTTATTCATTTTTTGTTATGATCTGAGGTGGTATTACAGAATAATTTTTTTTATTATTATCATTTTTTTTTTTATTGCTAGTTCATTTCTATAGTGCAGGGTTATCAAATGTTTCTCTGAAATAAGAACACCCACCCCCTCCCGACATTTATTATAGAACATGTGATACATGTTGTATTAAACATTAATACACTTAGTTTGAAGGTGTTTCATTTTTCAACAATTCAGTTGAAAGTTAAAGTTAAAAATAATCCTGCAGTACAGTGTCCTGCTAAACCTATCCTATTTGATATTAACAAGCCATGTATAAAAGCATGTCAAAGCAAAAGAATCAAATGTTGATGCTAAAGTGGGCACATCTTCTTATCATACAGCAAAAGCTGAAGGAAGAGCGTGAGGCCAAGAGAGCACAGCTGGACAGCAGACATGACTATGTTCTCAGCATTGTGTCCTCTTGTGTGGGCCTGGAGAAAGCTGAAGTGGAAGATGCGATACTGGAGGGCACACAGGTTAACAATATTCCATATACACACTTCTAACAGTCTTAATTTGGTTTTGGAGAACATTGGAAAATTGTTAATATTGCTATTTAACAATATTATGACTGATGTTTCAGATTGAGCGGATAGAGCAGTTCTTTGCTGCCAATGGCCTTCCTCACCTCATTTTATACTACCAGGACACAGAGCCTGTGGACACAGGTAAGTAAAGCCTGTGAATCATATTGTGAAAATAGTAATCATTAAAAATAAATAAATAAATAAAATAAGATAAATACTGCAATTCTCTGAATGTTTCACTAGTGTTTGTAATTTATTTTAATTGTCAGTATTCCCAATGATGATTCTCATTAAATTCTTACACTGCACCCAAACAATAAATGTGATGAGATCAATTTGTCTTTGTCTTTGGTAGCTGTATCCTCCTCAGTGATAAGAAAGCCAAGGTCTTTGTGACAGAAGGCACAGATGTGGCCCTCAATGGCATTTGTGTATTTTTCACCCGGGCAAACACCTCCAAGCCTATCACATCAGAGAATATCCACAGGGTAAATGGAATAAAGAGAAATGTGTGAAAAGCTGCCCCTAAGATTTTTCCAGGAAAATCTCACCATCTGTTAACCATGTCAATAACAAGATCATGTTGTTGTTTTTTTCTGTAAATATGTCTTGCCCTGGTCATATATTTTATTTGATACATTCCATATGGTAGATGTTGCTGGTTTCCTGTTACTCTATTTTTTAAAGAATAAACTCTTTTAAATCAAACTCTTTTCAGCAGACCAAGCTAAAATAATGCAGTTTGGTGCAATTGCTGATATTTATGTGGCCGAAAAGTGAGCTTGTAATGTAAATCAATTTTATTTTTATAACAGTACAGCAGACTGCGAAAAAAACAACAACATACAAATATCAGTTGTCAGTAAGTTGTCATTTACTAACAATGCACACATTAAAGAACACAGACGCAGCCAGATCATTTCCATAATGACCAGCGCAATCTACCAAGAGCAGCGCAAATTACCGTCTGCTTTAAGATATGCTTTTTTGGGGGCGTTAAATAATGGCGCAAATACCAGTAATTTGACAAGCGCAAACGTTAGTAAATCGTGTTGCCTGATTCATTTTAATATTCTCCTCCCATAAATTTTGCGTCTGAAAGGGAAACTCCTACTGTAACGGGGCTGACGAGACGAGAGGCGTGCGGATCCATGTGCAAGCTTTTATTCACAAGAGCTGTTTTTCCTCTGGGGAAACAGCAGCGAACTCCACTACCATGGGAGGTTCTGCAGCATCAGCCGCCACCTCTGGAAACATCATAGTAGGCGCCGCTGTCTCAAGAGTCTCCGTGGTGGTGTATGCAGCCCATACACTCCAGAAAGCAATCCCCATTATGGGAAGCGCTACAGACAGGGGAATAGGTTCAGGAACAGGAGGGCTAGAGTGAGTGGGTTTGGGGATACCAGCTGCGCGTGCAGCCACCAATGGTGGGTCCTCCACGCTGGATGCCAGTCTGGGATACTGAGAAACAGTCCCTGAGGGTCTGGGTGCCACAGACAGGAAGTGACAGGACTCTGAGTGAACAGACGTGATGCGACGTGACTCTAGATGATCAGCTGTGATGTGACCTGATTCATGAAGATCAACTGTGACTTGATGTGACTCAGAAAGAGCAGTTGTGACGTGACTTGACTTATGTCGAACAACTTTGACTTGGTTTGACTTATGACTGTCCGCCATTCTGTGATCAGGCTCATCTGTCGCCGGCATTTTGTGAGCGTAATCTAGTGCGGGGGCCATTACACGAGTGAGTGCGGGGTCGCGTTCCTCCGCGATACCCACAGTGAATAGAGAGCCAACAGTCAACAAAGCAAAGTCCAAAAAACAACTCAGTGACGAACGCGGACCCTCGCGTCTAAGCTCAGATCGTAGAGGTTGATTAAGGCCTTCACAAAAAAACTCTATCAAAAGACAGTCTGGTAGATCAGAATAGTGTGCTATGGCTAAAAATTCGTGAACATAGTTCTCCAGCGATCGCGGGCCCTGTCTAAGGGCGAACAAAATCCTTGCCGTGTCCATACCTGGCCAATGTTCTTCAGAAAAGATGCTGGGTCCTTGTATGGCCGAGTATTCTGTAACGGGGCTGACGAGACGAGAGGCATGCGGATCCATGTGCAAGCTTGTATTCACAAGAGAAGTGGTCAAAAAACACAGGCAGGGTCGAACAACAGCAAACAGGTATGGCACAGGCAAGACAAAGAATATTCCTTGGGCTAGCGTGGGTCTACGATCGGCGAACAGTATCCAGAGGGCTTGACAAGAGGGGTAATCCAATAAACACAGGCAGAAGGTCAGGAAACAGACAACAAGGCAACACGGAAAGACTAGACTAAGACTAAAACTAAAAAATGGGAAAGGAATGTTTAGAGATAAACGCTAAACAAAAACTAGAGACTAAACAGAAACAGTAAAGCAGTAAAACAGGCTCGGTAAAGCAGCTAACACTTGGGGAGTGCTAAACGCAGAACAATTCTCGGGGATCGGAGCAGGAACTGAGTGGGTGTTATGTAGTGTGTGTGATTGGTCTCAGGTGATCGTGTGATTGGTGCATGGGAAGTGTAGTCCATGGTGACGTGCAAAGTCAGTGTAGTGAGAGAGTCAATATGATGGACGAGTGACCTCTGGTGGCGATCGGATGGAAGTCCACGGACCGGATTCGTGACACCTACAAATGCATATTCAATAAGGTCAGGCGCAAAAATAACTAGTTCTTCACTTAATAAATTCTGACAGTACTGTTTTAACGCAAAAAGACTGTTTGCGCTGGTGTAAGCTGTTAGTAAATCTGGGCCACCATATCTTAGTAAATTGTTTTTTTCTTCTTCTACTGACCATTTGCTGTGTGTAATATTGTGCTTCGTTTAGAGCCTTATATGTCTTGAAAACAACAACAGAAGTGTCTTGTGTATGTTTTCATCCTGTCCCCTCTGTTTGCTCTCTCATAGGATGTGAACTTTAACATGTTGGACACCACGGGTGTTGGTCTGCTGAAGAGCGTGGAGCAGCTGCTGTCAGAGATCTTCATCCCCACTCTGAGGAAGATGAACCACGGCTGGGGAGAGCTAGCAAGCCCGCAGGCTCAGGCTGTCAAGCAAGACTTTATTAGCTCTCTGGACAGCTTTGTCTCTGTGTTAGCTGGGGCACAGGAGAGCCTGCAGGAAAAGGTCTCACAAATACAAAAGAACAAAGAAAGAGGCACACTTCTACAATAACATAAACACACTCAAGGATGCACACACTCACACATTCCATTCTAGTGCTATATTGATCCATAGTCTCTCAAAAATGAATTGGATGGTAGATTTGGTCAGGCAGATGAAATATTGGAAATTTAAAGCTAGTTTTCTCATTTCTTTCAAGCTTTCAGCAGTCAAGATCCTTTTTCTGGATTTATGAGATCTTGGATTGTGCCGGGGAGGGGGTTGACCATTTTAAAATAAATATTTTGGGGTTCCAAAAAAAAAAAAAGCACATTCTTTCAAATATTATATATTATATTATATATTTGTGTGCCTTTATTTAGAGTTATAGTTACTTAGCTTTGAATTTCAGTGTCATGACCTTGTAAAGCAGATAAACTCATTGCATGATATCTGCAAGGTTACCAGAAATTATAAATTAGTCGTACCGCAAAATTGATGATTTAGACAACTTTACAGCTTAAATAATAAATTACTATATTCCTAGTAAAAAGCACTCTTACAAAAACATTAAAGTGGCTCTTTCCATGTACTCCTTTGGTATAGTGTAGTTAATTTATTGAATTACTTGTTTGTAATAAACAATAAAACCTGATTACTGTATTTTAATTTGTATTTAGACTAAATCTTTAATGTAATATCCAAGATGCTAAAATATCTCTGACCCAAAGTAACATCTGTGAAAACTGTTTGATATTTCAGGTAAACCTCAAAGAATGTGAAACATTTGACTTGAAGACATTGAAAGGTCCTTCAGATTACACTGCTGTGGCCAATAGCACAGAAGCTCTGGAGAAGATTGAAGCCTGCATGAAAACTTGGCTCAAACAGATCGAACAGGTTTCAAATGCATTACTTTGTCGTGTAGAATCTATAATATGAGATGGTGTGCTTGTAAATAACGTTAGATTTTCCTCAAAATTGTAACTTCTTTGCAGATGTCTTTAATATGTTGTATTGACTTTTTAACCACCCTGTCTTGTGCTCTGAAGGTCCTTGCAGAGAGTGACCAGCTAAGGAAAGAGGCAGATGACCTGGGCCCCCGTGCAGAGCTTGATCACTGGAAGAAACGCATGTCCTGTTTTAACTACCTGCTGGACCAGTTGAAGAGCCCTGAGGTCAAAGCTGTGCTGGGGGTTCTAATTATAGCCAAGTCCAAACTGATTAAGGTTAGTTGATGGTTTATATTTATATATCATTATTAGCTGTTTGGTGAATGAGACAATAGCTGGGGCATTTATCTTGCCACATAAATGTGAAGGTAAATTTATTTTCTAATTGAATTTTTTGAAACGATGAGCTAAATATTCCTTCTAAAAAAAATATGACTTTTTTTCATTTTCAGTTCAGTAATGTCCTTGATTGAGCTGTTTTACCAGTCAGTTAGAGGTCTAATTTTCAGCCCCTAAACTATTTGTCTCCCCAGGTTTGGCGAGAACTAGACATCAGAATCACTGATGCAGCAAATGAGGCCAAAGACAATGTGAAGTACCTGTACACCCTTGAGAAGTTCTGTGACCCGCTGTACAACAGCAACCCTGTAAGGCTTATTCTGCAGTTACTACATTTGTGCCATTCAAAAATATGAAATTAAATCATACTGCTCAGCATCTTGTGTAGATAATATAGAAAATTGTATCTTTCAATCATAGCAACTCTTAGAATAGTCTCAGCATGTTTGTGGACATGACATTATTAATGTAGTTGGTCTTGGTGGACTAGATCTGCTATGCACATTGCCAAGCAATTATGGAATTGCAACTGCCAATAGATACTGTACACACACACATTCCTGTGAGCTTGTAAGATATGCTTGCTGCTGCATGAATAAGCAAACATAAGCCACTTTTCCACTGTCGGGCCAGTGCGAGCCAGTGCTTTCAACAGGCCGGGCAGGACTAATAGCCTCAGACCTGTAGCACCGAGCCCAAAATCATGCTTTTCTACCGTCGTCATATAGTTTCCACCGTCGGGCCAGAAGCTCCGCTGCACTTCAATAAATTCTGCCCTTTACACGCCTCTTTAGAACAATGTCACACAACCCCATCATTTCACCAACAAAGAGAAGTTATCAGAAAACTAATCAGAAATAAATCACTGGAACTAGCGCGATCACAAAACGAATATGATAAAAGCGGACGTTTGTTTGTATGTTTTGTTGTTTACATAGATTTAAATCCAAAAGCATCGATGTTTTACCAGTTTTACAATATTAAGTGATACATTGATCATAATGAATTAATTTGTCAGGATTGAAAAATTGGTCACACAGAAATAAAGTGGTATTTACCTTTATTTCACAAAAGAAAGAGGACACATACTTATTCAGTCACGTCTGTTTCTGTTTATTTGTAGTCACAGTAACTTATACATCACAGTTAGAAAGAATGAGTATTTCTATAATTTTCCATTAAAAATACGACCTGAGTAGCAGAGGGAGCTCCCGAACAAAAATTATGATTATGATATATTTTATGACATACATGGAGCTAAATATGAACAACAGACAGTCAGGTATAAAGAGATGAGACTTACTGACTGATAGCCTATATGATTTGTCTGATTTCTTCGAGCGGTCGTATTTACCATATTTACTATGGTAATGGCTAGCGTGCATAGTACTTTGCATCACTTATAAATATGTCTGCCTTGTATGGTGAACATGATAATCCACATCGGATCTCAAACAGAAGTTATTCCAAACACTCGCTGCTGTCGGAAAGTGAGTTTGGAGCTAAAATTATATTTAAAGTCTTTAATACTGGTGTTATAGCTGTTAACTATATGAAATAATCTGCAGCGCTGATGCTGATGCAGACGCAGAGAAACGCTGCCTTTGTTCATAACTACTCCTCAAACCCGAGCTGGCCCGCTTTGGCCCAAGGTTTTCGGCGGGCCAAAAAACTTTGGCCGTTGGCCCAGAGGAAGCCCCGACGAGGCACAATCAAGCCCTGGAAGTGACAGTGGAAACACGACTGGATTGGAAACATGGAAATGTGGCTATAAATGCCTTAGCAGGTCTAGACAGGTGGAGCTGGGGGAGGTGGAGGGTTTCAGAGGAACTCTGATAGCGTGCTGCAGGATGATATATATATATATATATATATATATATATTCTGATCAATCACACTAATCAGTACACTGATCAACCACAACAATAAATCCACGGACAGGTGAAGGGAATAACATGGATTATATCATTACAGTGGTGGGGGTGGGGTAATCTAGGCAGCAAGTGAACGGTCAGTTCCTGAATTTTATGTCAGGTAAACTGGGCAAGCAAAAATATCTGAGTGATTTTGACAAGGGCTAAATAGTAATGGGTAGCATCTCCAAAATGGCAAGTCGTGTAGGTGGTTCCCAGTATTCAGTGGAGGCCATCCATCTCATGAACACTTGGCAATAACTGTGGAACACACAACACTATTTATACACTCATACACTTATTTATCTAACACACATACTTAGTCTACACCTCAAATTTGCACATAATATACCTGTTCATACAAAAATGTCTATTGTAATATACCTGCAAATACAAATGTCGATTTATAAATTTTTATTCCTTATTTACTTGTTCTATTTTTTTAATTTTTTTATTATCTGTGTTTTTTTGTTCTGTCACTGTCATTCTGTTACACTGTGGAAGCTTCTGTCACGAAAACAAATTCCTCGTATGTGTAAACATACCTGGCAATAAAGCTCATTCTGATTCTGATTCTGTTAGTAGCTACCAAAATTGGTGCAAGGAAGGACTGCTACAATATCACAGAAAAAATGGGCTATTCAAGGACGTATATAATGCCCTACTTAGCCTATAGCAGTGTGTTATAGCTAGTTTATAAAGAGTATTTTACACAGAGTTTATTACACCCTGTGATATTACTGTGTTCTTTGTGCATCTTTATGTAGGTGTCCATGGTAGAAGCTATTCCTGGGCTCATAAACACAATACGTATGATCCATAGCATCTCTCGTTACTACAACACCTCAGAGAGGATCACTTCCCTTTTTGTCAAGGTAAAAGTGAGGTGACACCCAAGATAACTAAATTTCATTTCACAAACTTAATACTTTAAACTGGAAATATAATCTTTCTCCTTAGGTTACAAATCAAATGATCACCGCCTGTAAGACCTATATCACAAATAACGGCTCCTCAACCATATGGGATCAGCCGCAGGAAGTGGTATCTGAGAAGCTTAAAGCTGCCATTCGCTTGAATCAGGTACAATGTGACATTTAGCTGGAGGATGTGCTTATATATACTGATCAAGGTCTAGATACCACAGCATTTTTTAAAAGGCAAAATGTGTCACATTTTCCTTGGCCTTTAATGCGAGAAGTAAAAAGATGTACTGTTAGTGACAAATAGGGAAAAAAAAGCTCTATGAGCATGTCTGCTGAACACTGTCTTTGAACACAATGCTTAACCTTCATCCACAGCTTCATTCTTCTACATCTGTCTATCCCATTTTGCCAAGACACAGATTTTGCTAAGCTTTAAGGCTCTGATGTTCATCCCTTGTAGGCAAAGATAAACACAAGAAGAACACATAACCAGACGACATAAATATTATATGTGCTAGCATGAAGACTAGTGTGACTTTATTTAGTTCAACTTCAATGTCATGACCTTGTAAAGCCAATAAACTCTGTAACTTTATCTGCAAGATTGTCAGAAATGGACATGACAGATGTTATACCTCAAAATGGATAATTTAAACAATTCCACAGCTCAAATTATAAACTTTTTTTCTACTAATTTAATTATTTAAAATACAAGCGTCACATTAAAGTTGTTCAATCAATTTATTTATTTATTTGCTTGTTTGATATATTGTTTGTATGTGTGTGTATTTATTTATTTATTTATTTTTTAGTTCATCTCCTAAACACTGCATTTGAACACAATACTTCAATTCATACCTTTTAGGGAAAAATAAATACAAGAAAACAACAAATAAGTTATAAATAATAAGTGGTGGAACAGTAGATGAATATTACATTTAAAATATTTTGATATATTGAATCAGATGAATAACTTGTAAACACAAATTCTGTTCAATATTTTAGGAATACCAGAAGTATTTCCAAAAAACCAAGCAGAAACTGGAGGAGAATCCCTCGGAGTGCCAGTTTGACTTTAGCGAGATGTACATCTTTGGCAAGTTTGACACATGTCAGCGACGGCTGAACAAAATTCTAAACATGTTTAGCACCATTACCACCTACAATGCCCTGCAAGACTCCAAAATTGAGGGACTGGAAACCATGGCAACCAGATTTCAGGTATCATGGCCATGACGTAGTGGTCTATTTTTAGATTTGCACAGAAGACAAAAGAACATACCCAGAAGATAATAGTGTAATTCCTGAAGTAAGGATAGGTTGCCTTCTTTAGCGGCACATACATGTTTAATTTGGATGAGGCATTTGTTAGTGAACTAAAACAACTGTGTAATCCGAGATTTAATGAAAGGTTGTCAAACACCTCAGTCTGTGCAGTCATTGTAAGATATTCACAAGAACCATATTATACACTGGGGGTATAATTAGAATTTATTAAGATCATTGTAATGTACTGTTCATAATGGTAATGTGTAAGTCTCATAGGGTGAATACTGGTAAAGTAGGCCGGTTTCAGATAATTCGCTATTGCTGTAGATCTACAAATGGTTACATGTTATTCCATAATATTTTAGGGATAGTCCATCCAAAAATGTACATTCTGTCATCATTTACTCACCCTCATGTCGTTCCAAAGCTGTATGCTTTTCCTCCGTCTGCTGAGCACAAAAGAAGATATTTTATGAAGAATGTTGATGACCAAACACCATTAACTTCCAGTGTATTTTTTTTCAATGGGAAGTCAATGGCAACTGAAACTGTTCATTCTTCAAAATAACTTTTTTTCACAGAAGAAAGTTATTACCAATTTATAACAGTACAAAGCCAAGTAAATGATGACAGCATTTTCATGTTTGGATGGACTGTCCCTTTAATCCTGATGCCCAGTATCGGAGGAATATACACATAATGATAAATATTAATATTGTCCCACTTTACCTGTATCCTCATACCTGTATACAACTGCTTTTGCATAAAAAAGATGGATGGCTTTTAATGGAGGTTTGATTCAGTATATAACATTTTTTTCTGGTTGGAATAAGCATTGTTAACATGGACTAAGTGGTATTTGTTCTTTCTGCTGCCTACCATGGACAGACTGCAGATATGCTAGGGAAATGGGAGGTAAACGTAAAGGAATAACCTGTTTTTAACATAATGCATGTCTCATCATAAAGCATTAACCAGCATGGGAACTAAAGCCATATATTTAACTTATAAGTAAAAATTGCCCTTTTACACTGATCTGACATCAGTATTGTGGTTTATTTTAAAATCACAAAGGCCCTGATTTAAGTTGGCAGGCCGGTCCTGGATTTGCATTAAAGGGCAAATGTTACCTGTAGCTAAAACCTAGTATTGTCGTACTGTGAGTCCATTAACATTAATTGCATCTCTTTATTCCAGTCACAAGTTTATTTATTCACTCTCATTTTTGTGTCCATGGAAACAAAGTTCAGACCCAGAGCACTCCATGCTCCAGGAGTACTGAATAATTGAACAAAAGCTGATAAAGATCTATCACTAACTCCTGTTCGTTGTGAAAGTTGACAGTCTGCAGGAGTCAATGAATATTTCACAACAATCTGCTCCTCTGGGCATTTAAGGTGTTCTGGTACACACAGCTGAGTGCTGGTGTAGCAAACGACTGAATATTTGTCTTTCCAACTGGGAATGCTTTTGGTACAAGATCGGTTCATGGTTGTTCTATCAAAAGGCATTACAGGAATACCTCACTCAAAAATGAATATTCTATCATAATTTACCTTCTCTCGTGTTATTCCAAGCCTGTGATACTTTAATACTTTTGAGGAACACATGGCTTCAGAAGACTTATAGCACAACAAGCTGTATGGACTACTTTTATGGACTTTTTATTGTCCATACAGGAGCTTGGCAGCCACTGGTTACTGTGTTTGTTATTTCGAAAAAGCAGTGTGAAAATTCTTAAACATTTCTTTTTGTGATCCCTATGCCAATTAACAAACAATCTTGAACAACATGAGGTTGACAATTTAGGTGGACTATTGCACATTTTGGCATGTAATAAATATTTATGTGTGTGTATTAGTGATTATATTGTCCTCTGTATATCTAGACCATTGTGTTGACCATGAAGAAAAAACAGTACAGTTCCCTGGACCAAAGAACGACAGACTTTGATCAGGACTATGATGAATTTTGTAAACAAACCAGTGAACTTCATGTAAGTATGTTTTCAGTTTTGTTTTATTATTTATTATTTTTATTTATTGCTATAAAATTGCTTATACTTTAAATATTTCTTTCTAGAACCAACTGAAAACTTTCATGGACAACACCTGTGACAGAATTCAAAATACTGAGCGAGCTTTATATGTGCTCAAGAAATTTGAAAGGTAATAATATAGAGTTTTTTTCTCTCACTTTGGGTCAGCTCTCATTATTAACTAACTATTAACTATAACTTTTGCCTCAATAAACTCCTAATTTATACTTATTAATAGTTAGTAAGGTAGTTGTTTAGTTTAAGTATTTTGTAGGATTAAAAATGTAGTAGAATATGTGCTTTATAAATATAGCAAAGTCAATATTCTAGTAATATGCATGCTAATAAGCAGTGAGAATTGGTCCCTACACTAAAGAGTTATTTTTTATTTTTTGTATAAAATAATATTGTCTGTTTATTAGTACTTATTAAGCAAATATTAATGCCTTATTCTGCATGACCATATTCTAGATTCCTTTAACCCTACCCTATTTCTAAACTTAACTACTACAACAACTGCCTCACTTACTATCAATAAGCAGCAGATTGGGAGTTTATTGAAGGAAAACTCTAAGTTAATAGTGAATATGTGTTCCTTAATCTAAATTGTTACAAAGAATTATAATGTTTCTGTTACTGTATTTGTACTGTTTATTTGATAAAAAAATAAGTAATACTGTAAAATGTTATTGCAATTTTGAATAACAGATTTAATTTATTTCAACTATATTTTTATGACTTAATTGATTTATTTTCCTTAAATGTTTAAAAGAACAACATTTATTTGGATTTTTAAAAATTATTTATTTAAACTATTTATACCCCCCCCCACATTTTCATATCACCAGGCTTGGCATCCCAGACTTGCGCATCAATGAGAAGTACCATAAAATTCTGCAAAACTTTGGAAGGGACATTGAGATGATCTCTCGAATGTATACCAAGCAAAAGACAGATCCCCCCATTGCTCCAGATCTCCCTCCAATCTCAGGGAAGATCCTCTGGGCTCGGCAGCTTTACAGCGGCATACAGGAGCCCATGGATCTCTTCCAGCAGATGCCTGGGCTATTCAGCACCCCAGATGCCAAACCCATCATTCAAAATTACAACCGGGTGGCCAAGGTGCTGCTGGAGTTTGAGGTGCTTTATCATCAGAGCTGGATGGCAGAGGTCAGTTGTCTTGTAGAGTCAAAATAAGGAACTGTTGACTACTTGCTTTAGACGCGTTTGACTCTTTGCTCATGTGCCACTTTCACTTGGTGATGTGTTTTAAATAATTAATGTTCTTACCCTGTAACTGTTCATTTATTTACTTTCCTCTCTTTTAAGATTGTAGACATTTTTTAAATAAATATTTTATAGATTTTTATAGAAAGCAATTCTGGTCATCTTTACAGATATACAATAACTAAATTAATTAAATGCAATTTTATCTTTCTTTTAACAAAACAACCAGTCATATTCATCTGTTTGTCTGTAGGCTGAAGCAGTTAAAGTGGGCCTGCAAGCCTCTTTGCTCGTCAAGAGTCCAGAAACTGGGGAGCTGTATGTGAACTTTGACCCCCAGATCCTGATTCAGATTCGAGAAACAGACTGCATTCTAGGAATGGGACTGGAGATTTCACCCTTTGCAGCCATCTTGCAGCAGAAAAAATATGTTTTAAAAAAGAACTACAATAAACTACAGGTATATCTACTTGTAGCCTTTTTTTATTTGTGGAAGATCTACGTATATGGGTGGAGCTGGGGGAGGTGGAGGGTTTCTGAACCAAACTATTTAAAAGTTAAGTAGCAAGCTCATTGGCAGTAGAATCAGCACAGGCCAATCAACTTGTGCCATGCTGGTGGATGTCATTGTTTGCAGATTGCATTAAGAACCTATAAGCCTGCTCCATGTAGAGTTTCATGACTAAACTAGATGTCACCCCCCTTTTTTTTCCAAACCTGTAAGACTTGTGTTCATTTTCAGAACACAAATGAAGAAATTTTCAGACTTCAAAAGTTAAAGACATCATAAAAGTCATTCATATGAATAAAGCGGTTTAATTCAAGTATTCCGAAGAGACCCAATCTTTATATTACAACTAATTTTGGCTTTTATTCACAAATAAACATTGATCAACACACATACAGTGCCAGTGTTAATTTAGTTTCCTTTCATTAATATTTTGAATTATTTTTATTTTTAGATTTTGTATTTGGTTTCAGTTGAATCTTTACATGATAATATTTATATTAATTTTCTGTGTTATTTAAAAATGTTATTTTATTTTTCATACTGATTTTTGTTTTTTTTTCAAACCATTCAAGTAACCCCATCAGATCAATGTACATACTGTGACATGTAGCTTCACTAATAAGGTCATTTCCTTTGCTTGTGTGCTGTTGCGTCGTTTGTTCCTTGCTTCAGTTGATGGTGAGAGAGAACTCCAGGGTTAGGTCTAAGATCCAGCCAGCCTTTGAACAACTGCTCATGCCACATGTGGCTAAAGTAGATGAGGCCATTCTGCCCGGTCTGACCTCCCTCAGTTGGACCTCTCTTAACATAGAGAAATACCTTAATCGAATCACTACTGCACTTGGTGAGAGACTCCACTTTACAGCTGATTTCCATGATCACATTAGGAACATACACTACAGTAAATGGCCACAAGTTCAGTATGTGGACACCCAATTATATACTTGATGAACATTTAATATCAAGGCCACTGCCATTAATAGGAAGCTTGTCCTCACAATGTCATTAGAACAGCTTCCGCTCCTCTTGGAAGGCTTTCCACGTTATCCGGGAATATGCCTGCTAGGATTTGCTGCCATTCAGAAACAAGCATTAGTGTGGACAAAGGGGTGTCCACATACTTCCAGCCTTTTTGTGTACACGAGACATTTGTAAATGTGCCCTGTATGATTAGATATTTGAAATGAAAGGGTTCTTTCTCCTGGTTCACAGAGGACCTTGAACTTCTGCTGCAAAGAGTGAATGACCTGGTGGAGTTTAGAATTGATGCTGTTCTCCAGGAAATGAGCACAACTACGCTGTGTGTGGTGCCTGAAGATGAGCCATGCACCTGTGAGGAGTTTGTACAGACCACCAAGGTACACACATACATATACATAAAATATTTAATATTCTATATTCATAGCAACATGCTGTTATTTCTCAAAGGACATTGAGGCAGAACCAGTTCCTTGCTAAAATATATAAATTCAGATCAGTGAAATTATAGGGCTCTTACAACCCGATCTCATCAGAAAACTATTTGAGGAGGTGGTGATTTTGTATGAATTTGTGATTTGTTTGGAAACATACGATTTTTATAAAGAAGCATAAACGTCTACCCCTAAAACTGTCTGGAGCGTCAGCAGATTGTACAAAAATGTAAGAATGAGATATTTCTACAAATTAGTGAATTAGATACCAGTTCACCAAACTGGTGTCAGTTTGACTCTCAATTTAAATTTCAATGTGACAGCAAAAACTGTTCTTATTCACTTTCAGTCTTCTTTTACATTTACATTTAGTCATTTTGCAAACGCTTTTATCCAAAGTGACTTACAATTGGGGAATACTGTACATAAAGTGATTCTTCTTAAAGAGGCAAACAGACACAGGAAGTGCTTGAAATACCAAGTTTTAGGCATTGTTCAAATAAGTACAAGCTAGAAAAGGGAAGGAATAAATAAAGAGAAAGAAAAAGTATTTATTTTTATTTATTTATTTTTTTAAAGATGAAGTCAAGTAGCGTTTAAAGAGATGAGTTTTCAGCTGTCGCTTGAAAATTATCAGGGATTCAGCATTCCGGATAGGGGTGGGAAGATCATTCCAGCAGCCAGGAACAGTGAACGAGAATGTTCTGGAAAGTGATTTTGAGCCTCTCTGTGATGGTACCACGAGGCGTTGCTCACAAGCAGATCTCAGACTTCTGGAGGGGATGTAGATTCGTAGTACTGAGTGGAGTGGGTGCTGAGCCTGTGGCTGTTCTATATGCAAGCATCAATGTCTTGAACTTGATGCGAGCCGCAACCGGTAGCCAGTGCAAGGAGATAAAGAGAGGTGTAACATGGGCTCTTTTGGGCTCATTGAAGACCAGTCGTGCCGCTGCATTCTGAATCATTTGTATAGGTTTGATTGTGCTTGATGGAAGTCCAGCCAGAAGAGCATTGCAGTAGTCCAGCCTAGAAATGACAAGGGCTGATGATGTGTGTGAGTGCTGGTAAGAGTGTAGGAGAGATTGCTTGGAGAAGGTGTGAGGGGATTGGGTCCAGAGGGCATGTTGTAGGATGGCCGGAGAGGAGAAGATTTGATACTTCTGCCTCAGTGAGGGGACAGAAGGAGAATATAGGAGTTTTAGCAGTGGGTGTGGTTGGTTTGAAGTCCTGTGTGTGTGGGGCTGCGAACTGACTACTGATTGTTCTAGTTTTGTCTGTGAAGAATGTGATTAAGAGATTATGTGTGTCTGGAGCGCTGTTGATCTTATTGTGGAAGTAGGAAGATTTGGCAGTATGGACTTCAGCAGAGAAAGATGAAAGCAAAAACTGATACATACTCAGGTCTGACGGATCTTTTGATTTGCGCCATTTTCTCTCTGCTGCCCTGAGTTTGGTCCGATGCTCACGAAGAACATCGGATAACCAGGGGTTAGAAGGGGCAGCCCGTGCTTGCCTGGATATTAGTATTATGAGGGCCGTTGTCAGGTGGGTAGAGCTTTTTATTTAGTCAGAATGCACACCAGCTTTTTAGGGAAACATGGGTAACACTTTATTTTGATAGTCCACTTTAACAGTAAGTAACTTTGCAACTACATGTCAGCTAGCAGTCATTAGAGTGTTAGTAGACTATCTGCTTAATATCTTCTAACACTTTATTTTGATGGGTCCACAACATACAACATACTGACTATGAGAAACTTTGCAAGTATATGTCAACTTATTCTACTAACCCTAAACCTAACCTAACAGTCTACTCCGAGAGTTAGTAGACATGTAGTTGCAAATTAATGAGAATCAGTTAAGTGGTTGCAAAGTTACTTATAGTTAGTAGAAACTATGTCTAAAGTGGACTATCAAAATAAAGTGTAACCGAAACTGATTTTTTATTACATTTTATTATAGAAATGGTACCAAAATACAATTTTTTGGCATCTTGTTACTGCTGTCATTTGCTATTAGGCCTACATCTTTTTAAAAACCTAATTTCTTGTTGTGACTACACCAGTAAAGTTTTTGGAATGAAGAAATAATCAGTCTGATCATGCTCACTCAATTTATTTTCCAATTTAGGAGCTTTGCATCAAAGGAGCCCAAATGCTACATACTAAAAGCTCATTGGTGGAGGAGGCAGCCAGTGAACTGATTAATATGTTACTGGAATTTGAGCAGAAGGAGGAAAAAGAGAGAAACCGGGATGAGAGCAGGACAGAGAGCAAAGTGGAACAGATGGGCAGTGATGGTAAGAACTGCTGTTCATCATCCATGCAGTTGGCACCAGAAATTAACTTTTTTTTATTTAAATTATTTTTGAATGAAATGCAATTTGCTTTGGATGAAAACATCTGCCAAATGCATAAATCCAAATAAAAAAAAAAAAAACCAAATGAATCATCCTTGAGCATCAGTGAATGCATCTTTTTGTATGACTCCTTAGTGGTCCTCAGTGTGAAAGGATGGATCTCAAAATCTTACTATCACTGTGGAAAAGTTTTTAAATATGCAGAAAATGCTGAAAAACCAAAGAATGTGCAGGACTAGGCCTTATTAATTCTTTGTAGCTTCTCATATTCCAAGTGCTTAAAGTAATATTTTTTTATCATTTCTGTTTTATTTATACAAAGGAGAGGAGGAATATAAATCTGAGGGTCGCCTCTTGTCACGTAGCACCATGGTCCCTAGTGTCGCCTCCTCTTCTCCAATGATGAGAAAGAAGAAGAAGAAGGATCTGATGAAGGTGATGGAGGAGGAGACAAAGGAGCTACTGTCTCATTTTAACCATCGGAATGTGGATGCATTACTGCGCCTCACCCGTAACACGCTGGAGACTCTGCGCAAACGCATCCATGCAACATCACTAATGCATTTCCTGGGTTTGTGAAGTCACTTCCTTCAGTGGTTTTACTGATAATACTTTAGTACATTTATTTTTGGTTTATTTAAAAAATGTATTAAGTCAAAGTTTTTCTTAAGTTGTGTTCACCTTAGCAAAATTTCAGTGGAGTTTTGTGTGCAAATAGGCCTATTGACTATTGTCAATTAAAGCAGCACTGCTCACACAGAAGTTACTTTCAAACAAGGCAGCCTTCTGTTGTTTAGCGTGACAAATTCACACGACTGATTTGAAAATGTGCCAAATCACAGTGGGGGAATTTTTTTGCCCTCACACCAAACTCTTGATCTTGTGGATTCTTATTGGAATGATTGATTTTGCCAAGTAACAGTAAATGTGAATGCACCTTTATATATTTTTTCCAAGCATGAAGCTTCATATAATGACGCTACAACAACTATAACTCATTGTTATTAAAGGGATAGTTCACCCCAAAATGAAAATTCTGTCATTAATTATTCACCCTCATGTCATTCCAAACCCGTAAGACCTTCATTAATCTTCGGAACACAAATTAAGATTATTTTGATGAAATCAGAGAGCTCTCCGACCCTCCCATAGACAGCAACGCAACTGCAATGTTCCCATTCCCAGAAACGTAGCAAGGACATCGGTAAAACAGTCCATGTGACATCAGTGGCTCAACTTAAATGTTGCAAAGCTACGAGAATACTTTTTGTGTGCAAAGAAAACAAAAATAGCAATTTATTCAACATTTTTTTTGGAGAATACCATGACGCATGTGCGCGCTTTCCCCAGAACGTAATCAATGTAATCAGCATTCTTTACATTGTTTTCTCCTGAACGTAAACAGCGCTGATTACGTTGATTACGTTCTGGGGAAAGCGTGCACTTGGGTCATGGTACTCTCCAAAATGGCGGAAGACAGTAACTCGGGGAGAAGAATTGTTGAATAAATTACAGTTTTTGTTTTCTTTGCACACAAAAATTATTCTCGTAGCTTCGCAAAATTTAAGTTGAGCCACTGATGTCACATTGACGGTTTTACCGATATCCTTGCTATGTTTCTGTGACTGGGAACATTGCAGTTGCGTTGCTGTCTATGCAGGGTCTGAGAGCTCTCAGATTTCATCAAAAATATCTTAATTTGTGTTCTGAAGATTAACGAAAGTCGTACGGGTTTGGAACGACATGAAGGCGAGTAATTAATGTCAGAATTTTCATTTTTGGTTGAACCAACCCTTTAAATTTCACTTCCCATTCAGCAGAAGCAGACTCCTCAAGTCGGCAGAAGGGAAGTGGGCAGCAGCCAATCTTTAGGGTGGGAGTGTGTTTAGCCATCCCCAACATCATCATGGTTCCAGGGCTAGATGAGGTTCAGCAAGCCTTAAACAGAGCTGTGGACTGTGTGGTCAGCGTCAGTAAAGGAGTTGGGCAGTGGAGCAAGGAAAGAATTTCCAAGGTTTGTATTCATTCATTAAGACCATCTGACTCAATTAACTTTTAAGAGATAATACGCATTTAAAAGTAGACATAGACAGTGTCTATTTACACTGAGTGCAAATGACCAACCTTGATGGCAAAGGCAATTTTTCACTAACTATGCACACAATTAGTACAAATAGCATATTACTTCTATTTACACTTTTTGTGGATAGCATCTATCACTGCTTACACTTAAACAAGATGCTGTTTGTTCATATTTACTGTATACTTGGTTTGAACACTATATACTATATGTACAGTGGGTACGGAAAGTATTCAGACCCCCTTCAATTTTTCACTCTTTGTTATGAACTTAAATGATTTTAGCAAATGGCTGCAATATAACAAAGAGTGAAAAATTGAAGGGGGTCTGAATACTTTCCGTACCCACTATATACTATATACTATAACACTATATATTGAACACTAAATAGCCACTCAGGCTAAATAGCCATTCAGGAGAATGAAACAACATTAAACATAGAATAAATGAAAGAATGTAGTCAAAAGAGAAAAAATATTTTTTTTTCCAGAATATATAAAAACTATACAATGTATACAGAAGCTGTACAGCATTATATGTGTCTGAAGTAGGACATTTCATGAGGAAAATCTTCACTGCCATTCAAAATTGTTTAAGAATACCATGTTATGCATGTTATACCTAACAAATTCATGAATGTTGCTCTTCATAGTCTTTCATCAAAATGCAGTGCCCTGAAACATGTTCCTTTTCAGCTAATGTTACCAATGCCTTTTATTTTTTAACCCGTCCTCTTGATGAAAAGTCCCACCCTCCATTCATGTTTGTGAAAAATCCTGCTTCGCTTCAAAATGTCACATTGTACAAGTAAAATGGGTTTCAAATGCCATTTTATGCTGAGTTTAAGTAGCCTATAGTGTACCTTACCTAGTATTTTATTCTCATACTCTGTAATTATTTTGTTTTCTTGAACTGACATGAACTCAAAAGTTGCTATAGGCCTACAAAATCTATATAGTTCTTGTTTGATTATAATGTATGCAAAATGTCAGACTTGAGTATTTTTGCTGTCACAGAGGAAAATGAGTGAGCGACGCATGGCTGCTCTGAAACAGAACAGCCAAGAGAGTGAATCAGAAGATGGCGAATCGACCCATCGCAGCTTAGCCGGTACTTACGTACCCTCTGTAATTACACAGCTCAGCAGAGCAAATCAAGAACTAACTGGTCTTTGGTCAGTTTAAAATGTCTCTTTATAATGGTTGAAAACTGAAGCTCCGGATGGATAAGTTCATCTCCAGTCATTTGATAAATAAAACTGGGGAATAAAGATAATGAATGCAGACAGTGGATGTGATTTTGTGAAGTGGTGACATGTCCCTAGTGTCATGGTAACAATCTTATCCACATCATTTATTCTCTCTCTATCGCTTGCTCTCAGAATAGGGAAACTGACACAAAATTGACAGAGTACAGCAGTCACAACGACATATCTCTTCTTACTGTAATGAAACAGCTCTGCCTGTAAACCCTTCATCCTCTGAAACAGATTAGAGATAAAGGGTCCTTCATATAACTGATTTGAGGCAAAAAGATAATATTACTGAATCCCTCTCCCACAGCTCCTCTCTGCTCTTGTTTATTAACTTTGATTTCTCATCTTTGAATTTAATGTTTTGTTCTTCCAGAAGGCAGTACCTCAGATATATCGGCATCTGCAAATCAGGCCATTCCTGTCCAAATTAAGAACTATCACAAAAGCATCTCTGAGAACAAAGAGATTGTCAAGCTGGTCTCTGTGCTTAGTACGTCCATCAATTCCACCAAGAAGGTCTGTTTCAGTTTGTTATTTTTTACTTAAGAGTTGAACTTGTTTTGAGTCTGGATATTCAAGTCAGAAATATGATTGTCCCACGGGACCAAGTCTGTATAGCTTTAACTGAATATGTTTGTTTTTTTTATTTGGTTGTGTTTATAATGTGATTGTGATATTTTATGTAATGTACGATTCTTTCATGTACTGTACGCAGGAAATAATGAACGCTCTGGATCCCTTCAGCCTTTATCACCACATCTGGAAGAAAGATCGAGAGGAAACCATCCAGAAATTCATCCAAGGGAACCCTCTTCTTTCTGAATTTGAGTCACAGATTCTGTACTACAGGGATCTGGAGCTAGAAATTAATACAGAGCCTGAGTTTATCTCAGTAGGAGCTCTGGCATTATATACAGGTAGACAGACTCTGAAACTAAGAAAGCTAATAGTGATAGGTTAGAGATAAGAGACTTGTTTATTTAAATGGCACAAATAATGATTGCAGCAATAGTGTGAACGTTTAATATTGCTGTTATTGTTTCTAGGTTGGAATATATGCATATTACATTTATTTAAATTCATTTTATTTAGGTTAATTAATTATTTATTTTTTCAAATATTTATTACTGTACGTATACGTAAGTAGCAGTGTACTTATTACAGATTTCTGGAGGAAAGAGTTGGTTATTTCATTTGATTATTATGATTATTATTATCTTTGTTATCTTAAAGACCTCTTTATTCTTTGTGTGTTGCTGAACTTACCTACAGCGGATCTGAAATTGTCTCTTACTGCTGAGACAAAGAGTTGGATGGTGGATTTTGGTCACCACTGCAACAGGAAGTATCGCATGGAGATGGAACAGATCTTCACTTTTATAGATGAGGCGAGCAAGAAACTCAACAGGACGATTAAGGACTTGGATGATATTCGTATCGCCATGGCAACGCTTAAAGAGATCAGAGAACACCAGATCTCCATAGACTTTCAAGTTGGTCCAATTGAGGTACATACAAATATAAAGATGAATAAAGCATGTAGGGTCTATATTTTATTTAAAAAAAATTGAATATTTACACAGCTGTGTATTTACACTATAACTGACACCTGTCAAACTCCTATTAGGATAAAAAATATTTATAAAAAGATTCCATACGATTTGCACAGAAGACTTGGAATAGGGACAGAATATAACTTATATATCGTCCTTTGGTATAAATTCAATGTCTTTTCCCCTGGTTTTGGCCTGCAGGAATCGTACAGCATGCTACATAAATATGGATTGTTGATTGCCAAAGAGGAAGCAGACAAAGTGGACACACTTCGGTACACTTGGGAGAAACTGCTTTCCCGTAGCACAGAGGTGCAGAATGAACTGGTGACCCTTCAAACAAACTTCAGGGGAGAACTCATCAAAAATGTTGAGATCTTTGTAGAGGACTGCCAACACTTCTACCACGACTATGACAAGGTGAGTCCTGAGGGTCAGGTAAACTCTATCCATGCACTTCTTTCACTTTGAGGTGTTCCCTCAGGCAATTACAGTTACAAGCCCAAACACAGTTGTTTTCCTGCATTTATATTCCAGTGGGTGTTCTTGAATATAAAATGCCAGAAATCAAACCACACAAAAATCTAAGTGATTCTTTGAAGCTTCCACTGCACAGGGAAAACAAAGTGGTTGTTTATCATAAATGAACAATATGTGCATATGTTTTTCTGGTTTTGCGCACTACAAATTCTCAGGATGGTCCCATGGTGGTTGGATTGACTCCCCAGGATGCCAGTGACAGGCTTATTATGTTTCAGGTACAGTATCCTGTAATTTACCATGCCTGTTTCCATAAACATAAACATAACTTGATTTTTTTTTTTACATAATGTTGTGCAATATGTTTTGTTGATGTACATATAAATGATTATTAAGTTATTATTATAAGTTATTTACTAAAATGGTCTGGTGTTCCACAGAATCGCTTTGACAACCTATTCCGCAAGTACATCACATACACGGGTGGGGAGGAGCTCTTTGGCCTACCCGTTACCCAGCATCCTCAGTTGCTTGAGATCAGGAAACAGTTGACACTTCTCCAAAAGCTCTATGGACTTTACAACAGTGTCATCGACACAGTCAACGGCTACTATGACATCTCATGGGCTGACATCAATATTGACAGAATCAACAATGAACTACTTGAGTTTCAGTCGAGGTGAGAAGGTTACAGAAGTCAAACTAAATTTCTGAATATCCACTTTCTGGCAGTCATATAATAAGTTACACTGAAAAGCATGAAAGCACCAGGGGATTTAAATTGTGCTGCTCTGTTCTGGATAATCGCAGAAGCTTCTCAGAGAATAGGATCATTCTCCATGCCTGTCAAGGACTGAAATTAAAGTCAGCTGTGTTGGAGCAAGTACCAGTGTAAGGCCCCGATCAGACAGAACGCATTTTTTAAATTGTTTTGTATTGGCAGTGAGCGGTTTGCGCGCTGTTTATGCGCCCCCAGGAGCCTCGCGTTTTTGCAGGAGCGCTCTAAGCGGCTGAAGTTAAAAAAAAAAGCAACTCTGAGCAGAAAAGTACGGAGCCCCGCACATGGCATGCAGGAAAAAAATAGTAGGCTAAATCGTGTGCACGATTTACTATTTCATTCCCTCGATTTATAAATTGTGCGCACGATTTACTAATTCGTTCCCTCGATTTGCTAAATCGTGCACACAATTTATAAATCGAAAGAACGAATTAGTAAATTGCGCACACGATTTAGCAAATCGAGGGAACGAAATAGTAATCGTGTGCACGTTTTAGTACATCAAGGGAACAAATTAGTAAATCGTGCGCACAATTTATTTATTTTTTCTTGCATGTCATGTGCGGGGCTCCGTAGAAAAGTGCCCGACATCATTCACAATATTTTCCCATTGTCCAATCGAATGAAACCAAAGAGCGCTCGTGCTACGCTGATTCAGTGATTGGCTAGCAACATAAAAACCCGCAGCGCACTGCTCTTTTTTCTAAAATCAACCAAAAAAGGCAGTGCGGTGCGCCTCGCGTTTTCAGACCTGAAAAACACATTCTGTCTGATCGGTGCCTAACACAATAATCTTTGCAGAATAATAGGATGAATGAAGAGTTTTCTGTCTTATTCAATTTAAAGTATACTTGAGTTCAATACAATAGGAATAAACATTTTTATGGTTTACAACAAAGTCATTTGCTGTCAGCAAGATTTACTTTATATGCAGTCACACAACATTAATTTTCAGTAATATTGGATAAAATTGTACAAATCTAATGAAGCAGGCACAACAATGAACTTGAACAATGAACTCAAAACCAGTGCAATAGTCAGCATATGTATTAACCTAATGAGGTAATTTTTTTGTTTTGTTTTGTTTTGCAGGTGCCGTAAGCTGCCACGGGCCCTTAAAGAGTGGCAGGCATTTCTGGACCTCAAAACAACTATTGACGACTTTAGCGAGTGCTGCCCCCTGTTGGATCTAATGACTAACAAAGCCATGATGACACGGCACTGGAAGAGGATTACTGAGGTTACAGTTCACACATTTGAGGTCGAAACTGATAACTTCAAGCTCCGCAACATCATGGAAGCCCCACTGCTAAAGTACAAAGAAGAAATTGAGGTCAGAATTTAGTTTTATAGATACTTATAGATAGATTAGATCATAGTTTTGGCTCTTTATTTCGCAAAATGAAATAAAGAATTCTGTTATAACTGTAACAACGCATTGGTGCAGGACATCTGTATTAGTGCTGTGAAGGAGCGTGACATCGAGCAGAAACTCAAGCAAGTAATTGCGGAATGGGACAACAAGACTTTTACTTTTGCTCACTTTAAAACCAGAGGTGAGCTCCTTCTGAGAGGCGACAGCACATCGGAGATCATTACTAACATGGAGGATAGCCTGATGGTGCTTGGCTCACTTATGAGCAACAGGTGAGCCGTTAGACCAACATTTAATTTCTTTGGAAAATTTTACTATCCATGCAGCAGTTTATTTTTAGTAACATTTTATGTCTATGAAAATATCCACAGCAGTTTTATAATAGTCTATTAGGTAGCACTTTATTTTGATAGTACACTTTAGATATTCTACTAACTATAAGTAACTTTGCCACTACATGTCAAATACAAGTCATTAGAGTGTTAGTAGACTGTGTAATATCTACTAACACTTTATTTTGATGCTCCCCCAACAGACATTCTGCTGACTGTAAGTAACTTTGCAAGTACATGTCAACTTATCCTACTAACATTAACTATAACCCTAACCTCTACAGTCTACTAATAATTCTCTAATGAGAGTTAGTTGACATGTGGTTGCAAAGTTAGTTAATAGAATGTCTAAAGTGGACTATTGTAGTAAAGTGTAAGATTATTCATTGTAAATTTTGCAAATTGACTGTGTTGTGGCATTGCATTTAAATGTACATATTGTGACTTATGTCTTGTGTTCAGTACACTTAATAAAGCATAGGTCTATCAAATGGAATGGATCAATACCAGTTAAGTCGCATATCCTCTGATGTCCCTGACCTTGTGTCTCTCTATAGATACAACACACCGTTCAAAGCTCAGATCCAGAAGTGGGTTCAGAACCTCTCCAACACAACAGGTATCATTGAGAATTGGATGACTGTGCAGAACCTCTGGATTTACCTTGAGGCTGTTTTTGTTGGTGGAGACATAGTCAAACAGCTGCCGAAGGTAATATCAGTAATTTGGTGTCACTCCCAAACATTGACACCTAGTTTTTAGTCATTATATTGAAAGTGAAGAAACAATGGGGAAAAGAGTGAAGAAACAAGACTAGGTCATGATTAATTTCAAATCCACAGCATCATAGCTCAATGTGAAAATTAAATGTTATAGGACATCATAAGATGAATTTTAAAATATGACGTTTCTCCCCAAAATAGAAAAAAAAAACGTATTATAATTACATACTTAAAGGGGTCATCGGATGCCCATTTTCCACAAGTTGATATGATTCTTCAGGGTCTTAATGAAAAGACTATAACATGCTTTGGTTAAAATTTCTCAATGGTAGTGTAAAAAACCATCCTTTTTACCTTGTTTAAATCAGCTCTTTTCACAGCAACCCGTTCTGTTGCATGTCGCTTTAAATGCTAATGAGCTGTGTTTACTTCAGCCGCATTTAGCCGTGAAACTTGCTAACTAGCACATTATTAGGAAAGGCGATTTGCAACGATTCATAAAAAAACGCTTATGCTCACTTCTGTAGGTGAGGCTGGATCACGAATGAATCGCATGAACATAGACGTATTTAGGCAGATCTTGGGGCGCATTCCCTTCAAAAACGAAAGTAATTTACTGCGTCTACAGCGGCTTAGATGTCGGGAGTAAATGACGACTGTTATATTCATTACTACACCCAACAACAGAACACCTCAATCGCTTAGGAGACATTCTTGCCTATGTCCCTGCTCCAGCATCGAAACAATGGCGGTCGAACTGTTACAGCTCACTCAGGGCGGGTCTAAGGTAAAACACTAGTGTCAATCAACTATCGTGGGAGTGGCCTTGGTCTGTGTGATGTCACACAGACAAGAAGCTGAGAATGGCTTGATTTGAAAAAGGGGATATTATTTTTAGGGATTAAATTAAAACCACTGGCTGGATTTTTATCATTATAGGGTGGATGTGTACACAGACTGCCAAAACACATTTATGTTCAAACAACATGTAAAAGTGAATTTTGCATCCGATGACCCCTTTAAAATGGTTTACAAGCGCACTTTATGATTGAAATAAAATATCCTTACACTGAAATAATTATATTATATATTACAGTAATGAGATTTTTATAAACTTTCATTTTCAGCTCAATGTTTTTTTGTTTTGTTTTGTTTGGTTTAGTTTTGGTGTCTTTTTTTTTTTTTTTTTTTTAAAATTCCACAGATGTTTTTTTTTTT